TTTTTTTTTTTTTTTTTTTAAAATTTATTTAAGTTAAATCCACGTGTCCTTGTCTTATTCGTCACTCTGGCGTGTGAATTACATGCGTCTTTTATGTTTGGCTGCCTACAAATTTTGTGTCTAAATGGCACATATGAGATGTGGTTGGAGTGTTCAAATGGAACGGATTTAAGATAGAGTGCTTAAGTGAAAAGTGAGGACAAGTTTAATGGGCTGTCGATGTATTCTGCCTATTAGTTATGCATGAATATGTAATGCAGGGATTAGTTATGCATGTATTAGTTATGCAGGGATAAATTATGCAAGGTTGAGTTATGTTGGGATTAGTTATGCATGTATTAGTTATGCAGGGATAAATTATGCAAGGTTGAGTTATGTTGGGATTAGTTATGCATTCATTAGTTATGCGGGGATTAATAATATAAATGTAATGTAGTGTTATTTATTATTAGCTTACTTTATTTTATTAAAACTGTTAGTGTAGCTTAAATATATATATATTTTTAAACAAAAAAATACAAGTTTGAATAAAGGGTATTCTTGTCATTTTGTGTTTTAATACAAGTATTACTAATACATGTATAAGTTATTCCACCTTCTACCCTGCATAAATAATACATAGATTCCCTCATCACTTATACATGTATTAGTTATGCGGAAAAGGAAAACATGAACCAAACATTGTAGTAGCAATACTATATTTTATGTAGGAAAGAGGAAAAAACAACCAAACATTGTATAACTTATGCTAGCTTCTATGTAGAGATTATTTTTTCCCCATCTTTTATCCAAACAATGTATAAAGTTATCCTAATTTTAATACATGAATAACTCCTCTCTAACCGGCTACCAAAGGACCCCGAATTGTATAAGTGCATCGCCTTATTCATTGTTATAAATGCTTAATAGTCTCTGCATATAAGATATAGGATTCTTCTGGTGATTTTGCCCACTAGGTGCCTTTTGCGGTCGTAAAGTTTTGAGTCATGACACATCGATTTAATTCTACAAAATACTAACATTTCACTTAGCTAACTAGTATTTGTTTTAGAAAATGTGTTCATGAAAGGTATGAAGACTTGACTGTTCTTTCTACTGGTACCGTTTTATATGAAAGAAGAGTCCTGAGATAACCCAAACTTAGCTACATAAACAATAGTAATTGAAACTTAAGCCACTTAGCTTTTTAGCCACCAAGTCTATACTAGTAATAATTAGCAACATCCTCTTTTCCTTTGTAGAATCACGAATTATAGTGCAGGATTTGGCCAGGCTTCATATGCTACTGTACCAACTTTATTTTGAGGGCTGCAACTGATAAAAATTAAGAGTTGGTGACTAATAATTGCAATAACATTATCACAACTGTAATGGAAATGCAAATTTTCAGTTCAAAATCTTTTTAATGCTTCTGTTTGGTGACTTTCTTTGTTATTTTTGAATACAAGCTGCTGCAAATTCTTCTCAGTTATTCGGGTCTATTAATTACTAGCATATTTCAAGACAAACCATCTACTAAAACCACTATCGAGATCCACTACTAATACTAGTACAAGATTGAGCGAGACTACAATTTTCCAGTAGAAAAGGGCTTCTGGTCGCAAATCCTCTATTATGGTAAAAGCATTCAGTTTTTTCTCTCCATAGTAGTGCTATGGCCGTAAGCTGAGGTAAACTCAACTATGTCACTCAGCCACTTATGGTGTGAAAGTAAGGACTAAATGTACAGACGCTGGCATCTGGTTATATGTTATAAACTTCCCCCTCAAAGCCAACGGTTTAGATGGGTATATTTTTGTCTATGGTCCAATAATAAGTAAGGTTCAAGACCAGAAATCCCACCACTGATCATAATTACTACTATTAGGTTGCTGGTCCAAGAGACCATCATCCTCTAGGCTGCCCCAGTTTTCAGGGGAAGTTAAAGAACTATCCCCTGCTTCTACCATTTTCAGTAGATGATCAGATTCTTCATCCAAGCCGAAATAATCAGCCTTTATACTACTGTCATCATCTGAAATTACACCATTAACTCCATGTTCTGATAAGTCAAATGACAAGCTTGGCTTCCCTTCCATTTCCTTATTCTTAATAGTATTATCGTCTCTGTTATACGACTCCTGATCAAAGCCAATTGAACAATACTGTCCCCTTTCTTTCTGCATCAGATCATTCAGCTTTTGCAACTGCACAGAAAATATCATATTAGAGTTGGGGGAGTCTATGAGTAATTGGAGCTAAAAAGGAAATTAATTTGTGAAATTAAGTACCTGCAAAAGCAAGGATTGGTTTTCTTTCTTTAAAGAGTTGCACTGGGAAGCAAGATTGTCAAAATTGGACTTAAGTATGTTGTAATCCCTCTCAAGTTGCTTGGATTTCCATCGAGCTCTCTTGTTTTGAAACCAAATTGCAACCTGACGAGGTTGCAATCCCAGTTCTCGTGCCAACTGCAGTTTCTTTCTTGGCTCCAGTTTAGTCTCGTTCTCGAACATGGTTTCTAATGATTTAATCTGCTCATCGCTGAACCTCCTCGTATTCTTATTATTAACCTTCTTCTTCTTTGAGGATGGTAAACTGCTAAAGCTGCTACTACTGAAACACTCTGCAGAATTAAGAGCAGCTGCTGAAGAAGTACAAGAAAATTCCCCTCCATCAAACATCTTCTCAAGATTCAATCATGCGCCAAATCTAACACCAAAAGTGATGCAATTGGAAAGAAGAGGAAATTAGAGTTTGTGAAATTGCTGGAGTTGGGATATATATATATATATGTGTGGATTGAAATTGGAACGATCATGTACCTCTGACACAGTTGATAGAATAGTATATTTATGGTGTTAAGAGGTCTGGTGGGGGAATTATCAACTTGTGCCCCATGCTTTTTATATGGACAGAAGAAGGGGTGGGTCCTATATCATAATATTACTTCCTTTTCGTAAACTTATGATCGTTGTTTATTGCTTATTCCTTGAACCTCTGATCACTCTGTTGTTTCTCCACTGTTACTGGGTTTTTTTTCTCCAATAAACAGGGGGCGTCCCAGTTGGGGCTTGTAGTTTGTTGGCTGGCTTATTGTTAGCAAGGAGCCAAGTACTCTACCAATCCTAATACTATATTCTATGATTTATCAAGCTTTAGTGGAGTTTAAAGTTGTGGTGTTTACTTGTCATCTTTATAATCATCGTTGTCTTCATTCAACTGTTCCCTCCTAATTATATTATCATATATGGGTGTCGGCTACGTGATTCACGTTTTTACTCTATGTAATTATCAACATTCTATATATTTTCATTAATTGACACCTTTTTGTTCTTTGTATTTATCTTACTTTTGCATGTCTTTGTTTCATCGCCCATATATTATAATGGAGTATATGATATGAAACAAAAGATTTCTGTTGAAATTGCTAACGCCGTCTACCTTGATATGTTAGTTTGTCAGAACTCTTATAGGTCCGGTCAAGAAGGGGATATCCAGCTATATGTGACAATTTTCTTTTTTTTTCTTTTTCTGTTGAATGATAAATATAATTTAATTAGTTTATATTGTCTTTTAAGATCACTCATTTTTTTTTTCTAATTTATATATAT